CAGTTAATGGTTTTTTAAAAAAAGAAAGTCTCAGTGATTTGGGAAAACTGTTTGATTGTGTGTGGTAACATTTCAGATGTGTAAAAATAAAAAAAGGCAGCCCCATAGAAGGTTCTGCTGAACCACCTGTCCCTGACTGAGACTAGCCTATGTATGCCATGAAAAGTGGCACTATTTTGCTGTTTAACAATAAGTGGTGTTCCTTTCCAATCAGGCTTCCTGGATTATTGCAGAAAGGTGTAAAATTCTAACAGGCTAGATACAGGGAGGATGTTTTCCCTCTTTCAGAAATCTAGAACCAGGGGGGCAGTCTCTGGATACTAGATAGACCATTTAGGACTGACATGAGGAAAGAATACTTCACTCGGAGGGTCGTGAACCTGTGGAATTCAATATCACAGAAGACTGTGGAGGCTAATTTGCTGAAATTATTTATGGAGTCATACAGCACGGTAACAGATCCTCAGCCCAACCTGTCCATGCTGAACAGTTTTCCTAAACTAAACTAGTCCCATTTGCCTGCGTTTGGCCCATACCCCTCTAAACCTTTCCTGTCCATGCACCTGTCAGAACGTCTTTTAAATGTTGTAATTTTCCTTGCATCTACCACTTCCTCTGGCAGCTTGTTCCACATACACACCACCCTCTGTGTGGTAAAAGTTGCCCCTCAGGCCCTTTTTAAGTCTTTCTCCTCGCACCTTAAACCTCTGATTTTGGGTTCCCCTACCCAGGAGAAAAGCCTTGACAATTCACCTTCTCTGTGGACCTGATGATTTTATGAACCACTTCACAGTCACCCCTAAGCCTCCTGCTCTCCAGGGAATAAAGGCCCCAGCTGTCCAGCCTCTCCTTGTAACTTGAACCCTCCAGTTTCGGTAAGGTTAATGAATTTTTAGATTTTAAATGCATCGAGGGGTATGGTGTGAAAGTAGGAGTATGCACTGAGAGCTGTGGTTCCCAGCATTTCAGTATCAAGGCACATTTCAAACGAGACAAACAGGTTCATGGTATGCCCTTATTTTTCAGCTGAATTGATTGTTCGTAAATGTTACATACATTTACTAGAGAGGTTCACAACATAGTGCGTACAGCAACTTATCCATTTCTTCTAAGACTTAGATCAGTGGCTTAACTTAAAAAAATTCTGAAAATATTCCCCTTAGCATCATTGCTAACAATGGGAGTGTGTCCAGGCAGGGAGACCAAGTCAATCGTCATTCAACAATTGCAAGCCTCCTTACTGCACATGTGCAGTATCTTCTCATCCCATAGATATGATCCTCAATCGTTGTGCATGCTTAGTCCAAATGGGCCTATACATGTGCAAGCAGGCTGCGTAACAAGTGCATCCCCCATCTTCTGCATGTGTGCTGTACTGAATTTCCACACATACACAGTATCGGACGTATACGCGAAACGGTGAGGCCTCCTGACAATTTCACAGCAAGCTTTTTACATTGAAAACCTGCAAAATAGAGGATCAGCCATGATCACAGTTAATGGAAGAGCAGGCTCGGAGGGCCAAATGGCCTGCTCTTAGTTCCAGTGTAAGATTAATCAGAATTTGAAATTAACTTCTGGTTGGAATATTGGAGGCAAAAATTCTACAGTAATGCCCAGTATGATTTGATGTCTCAAAAGAAGGTTTGAGGCCCATATTGATCTATGTATACCTTTTGAACTGTGCCACCTTTAGAACTGTTTGCTGCCTCAATTCTTCCTCAGAGGCACCTACGTTCAGAAGTATTCAAGCATGCCATGAGAAGTTGTAAGATGAGGCTTTGGCAATCTGTATATTTTGCAGTGTCGTGCACAGCATATTGATTTATATCAAATCCTGTCTATTTCAGCAACAAAAAGCTCCTCCAGCCCAAGACTCTTCAACATTACCCACTGTCGTCAATATGAGAAATAAAAGTAAGCATCTTTTGATCCATATTTAGAGTTCATTAAATGTAGGACTTGGGGCATGTTCATATATTTGACCCAATTAATAGAATGCAGGTTTTACACAGCTTTGTCACTACAATTTTGAAAAGTGTGTCACTCCATATCTGGAATAAACTCAACTGTACAGTTATAGATAGCAAGAACTGCCAATGGTGGAGAGACAACATAGTATGGAACTGGAGAAGCACAGCAGGCCAGGCAGCATCAGAGGAGCAGGAAAGTTTACGTTTTTGGGTGGGACCCTTCTTCAGAAACCTTCCTGACCTGAAACATCAACTTGCCTGCTCCTCTTGGCCTGCTGTGTTCCTCCAGCTCCATACTGTGTTGTGCAGTTATAGATGTTGGCTTTCCAGATGTAGACAGTGTTTGGAGTGAGAATCTTGAGCTGTGTAGTGCTGTGGTGGAGCACTGTTAGGCAGAGTTCTGCCAGTGATTGTAGCAGTTTGTAATGAATAGAATATTGAGTGATCTCTAGTTTTTTTTTTACTCTTTATTATTGGTCAATGTTGCCTGATTCTCTAGTCTTTTATTGGGCTCCATGGGGTCGCTTCCTAATACAGCCTGCCCAGGAATGGCTCTGACATTAATGCCCAAGCTATGTGTTGTATTTCTCACCGGTTGCATTGCCTGCTGCAGTATTGTAGATCTCAGCGTTTGCAAAGAGCTGTTCTTCATATCATTCTTCCTTAGAAATACCTCCTAATCCAGACACCAAGATGGATTGGTATCAGCGAATCAGGATATCTCCAGATTAAAGATGGTTGAATTTTAGAAGTGTTTCATGGATATTCTGCTCCATAATAAGCTACCTTGTGTTTTTTCTTATCTATGACTTTTGTCATGAATACAGGTGCTGTGGTATGATGACTTATAAAACTTTTTTTGTAAAACCGCATACAACAATAAATTGCTATTCTATTCTGAGTGGGATAGCATTTAAGAATTTCATATTTATTTACTATGTTTGTGCTTCATCTATTTAGCTTTCCAACCCAAAGAACGCCCAAAGTCAGCAATAATTCTTCAAGATGACAACGTTTTGAACGCTCCTAACAGGAAAATGCCCCTCTACCGATCACTCTCCAAGAGCATGTCAATAGCTAATATTGCAGGGTAAGCCAGGTTTTTTGTGTAGTGTGTGCAAGTGCTGATTTGTGTGAAAGTTTTTTTTTTAAACGAACTGGAAATAGTGAGCAGTTGTTCTTGCCTAAAACATTTCAATTAGTACAATGTCCAAAAGGAACATTGGAGTTTAGAACACTTCAGAAATTGATGAATAAGCAAACATATGATCTAGGCCATTCAGCCCTTGAGCCCACTACACCATTCAATGAATTCAGGCTGATCTGATCAGGCTAATCCCGCCTATCCCAATACCTTTCCTGCCCCTTGTTTAACAAGAATCTCATCCACTCTTTTCCTAGGCCTCAAGACCCTCTGAGAGAAGAGTTTGCCTCATCTGTTTTAAATGGACGATCCCTAATTTTTACACAGTGACCCCCTACACTATCCCACAAGAGGAAACATCCTCTCCACATCTACCTTCGGATCCCCTCAGGATGTTACCTTTCGATCAAGTCACTTTGTACACTTCCAAACTCCAGCAGATACAATCCTAATCTGTCCAAACCTTTTCCTTATGAGACAAATCCCTCCCCATTCCAGGTATTAGTCCAGTAAATCTTCTCTGTATTGCATCCAATGCATTTATATCCCATCTTAAATAAGGTGACTGAAACCGTGTATAGTACACCAGATATGGTCTCATGAGTGCCCTACATAACTAAAGAAAACTGTCCCTCCTTTCATTTTCGTTTCTCCTTGTGCTGAATGATGACAATTTGTTCGCTTTCCTAGTTACTTGCTGTACTTGCATACTAAGATTTTGAGATTCATGCACAAGGACACCCACACCCTCTGTATCTCAAATCTGCAATCTCTTGAACATTTAGGTAACATGTTTTTTTTAATTCTTCCAGCTGAAATGGACAAATTTCCCCTTTTCCACATTATACTCCATTTGCCACATCTTAGCCCACTCACTTAACCTCTCTATATGCTTTTGTTCTGAAGAAGGGTGTGGAAAGACATTATCATGAAACAATAGACACTGGGTCTTATGGAAGACCAAAGACCGAGGGTGATCTACTTGAGGCCTTTAAGATTACGGAAGGTTTTCATAGAGTGGGCACAAAGGGAGAGTTCCTTCTTGTGGGGAAGAGCATCTCGAGGCCAACAATATCAGTAAGAAATTCAGAAAGAAATTCCAAAGAAACTACTTTGCCAAAGAATGGTGAGAATGTGGAATTTGCAGCCACTGGGAGTATCAGTGCATTTAAGAGGAAGCTAAGTAAGATTATGAAAGGGAAGGAAATAGAAGGTTTGGATGATCTACTAAGAGGAGGAAAAATAGGAGGAAACTTGGACTAGTTGGCTGAATAGCCTATTCTATGCTGTGTTTCTATGTAGGCCAATGTAAGCCTTACCTAAGTGCCTAGTTTTTGAATGTGGGCCTAGATGAAGCTCCTGAGGGGAGAGTATAGTCTTAAAATATATTTATACGCAGACATTTTTATGCAAATGTCATTGAACAGCAATCAACAGTCGGACACCACTGATTTATCTCCTATCCAGCCTAAGGGTGATGAGGCCAGTTTTAATGCCCCAGTTCATGGTTTTGTTATTCTTAATTAATCGAGTGCAATGAGGCATTCTGATCTGCATGGTTTTGTATTGTAGGTAATGCTTACAGCCATAAACTTGACAGAATGATAGACCTGTAGAACCCTACAATGTGGAATCAGGCCATTCAGCCCATCAAATCCGCACTGACCCTGTGAAGAGCATCCCACCCAGACCCACTACCCTATCCCTGCCACCCTGCGTTTGCCATGGCTAACCCACCTAATCTACACATCCCTGAACACCATGGGGGAATTTAGCATGGCCAATCCACCTAGCCTGAACATTTTTGGATTGTGGGAGGAAATCAGAGCACCGAGAGGAAACCCACACAGACACGGGGAGAATGTGCAAACTCCAGATTGAACCTGGTTCCCAGACCCAGCAAACCATTGTTTTCAAGAAACTGTTTGTTTTTATACTTTAGTGCAGTTACAGTTCAGTTTATTCCCTTCCTCATATGATTTATTTGTTGTCCTGTGCAGACCTGCGATTGATGAAACCTCCCTTGCTTCTTGGCGGGTTTTGTCTCAATCAACGGACTCTTTAAACCATATCAAACAAGTGACTGAGTCAATGGAGTCACTGACTGATGAAGGTAAGGATAGTGTTTAGTGCACTGCTCCTTTATTCTGCTTTAAAATGTTTAATTTGAGGGCCTTCAAAACACTCAGAATGAAACGCTAATAAATCAGCAAGGAAGCAAATCACACACAATTCCCTTTTTTAACAACAGGGTCTTGGTAGAGGATTGCTGTATCACTATGGGGGGGGGGGGGGGGGGGGGGGTGCGGTGCGGTGCGGTGGGGGTGGCAGGGGTGTGTGTGTGTGTCTGTGTGCTGCTGTGTGTGCGCGCGGCTGTGTGTGTGTGGGCGTAGGTGGCTGTGTGTGTGTGGGTGTGGGTGGCTGTGTGCGGGTGTGTATGTAAATTCCCTGAAACGTGTACTGTGCAAGTGAGAGCCCAAAGCCTTCTCACACTGTTCCCCTGCCTGCTGTTACTAATGAAGCTGGCGAACCCACCTCATGCTCTGTTCAGGTACAAATGCTCAGGGCATCATTCTGAAGGCTGAGGAGACTGATTCAACTCAGGCAATCGATGATACCTGACGTCACAAGACATAAAACACAAAGTGGTCAGGTCAGAATCCAGTTCTGAGTAATCTTCACTGAGTTAACGCATAATCACCAAGGTGAGATTCCATTACTCGCCTTGGTGGATCACAGTCTGCCAAGACCCAAGTCGATAGAACATCTCATCAGTGGAGAAGGTTACTTAACTAATTTAACACCTACGTCACACATGCACGCTCTCGCAGACACATTCGCATCCTCACTCGCACCTGCCTCGCATCCCTGCCACCCACCATGCGGGGCCTCGTTTAAATTGCTACCAGTACTTTTTCTCATTCTAGCTGTATTAGCAGCTAGCTAGTGTTTTGCAAGTTATTTACATTGGGCTAGAATAATGTTTAATCTAAGGTACGTTTTAACAAAAGGGAAAATTGCACCATTTGTTTGGAGACTTGAGATGCCTCCAGTTTGTGAGAAGGGGCCACGATATGGCCTCATGAATTTTGAGACCGGAATTTCATCAGGGCGTCACCGAAAGGCGACGTATTAATCAGAAGTGTTGCCCTTCACGTGTGTGTGTGTGTGTGGTGATGTGATGTTATAATAGGTGATGAACATAGGTGTTTATTGTCAGACTCTGCATTTGTACTGCACATTCCCACAGGTACAGACGTCATGGACGGGCAGCTAATGGGAGAATTTGAGTCCGACGCTAAAGAACTGGAAGCAGACTCCTGGAGTCTAGTGGTGGACAACGACTTTGTGTGTCAGCAGAAGAAAGATGTGATTAAACGGCAGGATGTTATCTATGGTAAGAGTTGACACTTATTCCTGTCTTAAATGGAGTGATTTTACATTCAAAGAATTTACTGGAGCAGGAGCAGGCCCTGAATCCAAATTAGTCTTGTCCTTTTTTATATATGAACCTCGCCAATCAACAGTCTCACTGTTATCTACAATCAATTCTCCACGCGTGCAAATGAATGCCCCTTGAATCTATTTATGCTGTCTGCTTCAATGGCCTTTCCACAGTGCGCTCACCTTTCAGTTGCAAAAGTTTCCTATTTGCCCTTCTCATTTTATATTGAGGAATCTCCAGCAAGGGGATGAGGCCCAGCAAACAGGGAGACACTTGTGGTTAGAGAGGCTGAGAAGGTAAGGTAAATTGAGAGGTCGTTTGTAAGAGAATCAGGTTTGGGAAATACTGAGGGAGCAATTTCACTGTTGGGAGTCTTGATGCAGCGAGAATGAAGGCTCGGGAAAGTGTTACAAATGACAATAGAAAATATAACCACTAAAAGCAAAGACCACGAAGATTGCAGCAAGGAAAGAGAAACTGGAGTAAGGATGAGAAAATGAGTAAGGATGCAAAAGGCCTTGATAATATGTAAATATCATTGAATGTGCAGTACAGCATTGGTGCAGAATTGTGTGTATGCTTGGCACCTGACTGGTTGAAGTTTGCTTCTTCAGAGTTAATGCAAACGGAAATGCACCATCTACGAACCCTGAAGATCATGTCAGAAATCTACAGCAAAGGGATGACAAAAGAGCTGCAGTTTGAAACCTCAACAGTGGAACGTATCTTTCCCTGCCTGGAGGATCTGATAGATATCCACACACAGTTCCTGTATCGCATTCTAGAGAAGAGGAAGGAGTCCTTGGTAGCAAACAGTGAGCGGAACTTCTTCATTAGAAAGATCGGAGACATCCTGGTGAATCAGGTAAAAAGGATTCACTGAGCCGTCGTGTCATTTAATTGTTCTTTTTAAGACGAAAGTTGGGGATGGTGTGTCCAGACTGTAAAACAGAGGCATGAATACATTTTCAGGGTTACAGGGATAGAGCTAGGGATTGAGACTGCCCAGATTGCTCCTCAGAGAAGACTGGATGGGCAAAGTGGCTTTCTTCTGAGCGGATTTTACCCTGGGGCATGCAACCCTCAGGCTACCTGGTTTTCTGTTGGAGTTGAGAGAGGCTGCAGCCTTGGCCAGGACTGCCCCTAACACTCAGCTGTTGTCTTAGTGCTGAATGAATCCTCAATGAGAACATCACCAAGTTAATGGTAACATGGAGTTTAACCATTACATGTGACTCACAAGCATGGTATCCATCAAGACAGAAGCTTCAGACCCAGGCTAAGCCATTGAAAAATAAGAATTTAAGAAATAGGATCACAGTAGACCATTCGATCCCTCAAGCCTGCTCCAGCATTCCATAATACTGGGCAGCACGGTGGCTCAGTGGTTAGCACTGCTGCCTCACAGCGCCAGGGACCCGGGTTCAATTCCACCCTCAGGCGACTGTCTGGAGTTTGCATATTCTCCCTGGGTCTGCGTGGGTTTCCTCCGGGTGCTCCGGTTTCCTCCCACAGTCCAAAGATGTGCAGGCAATATTTTCCCAAAGGGCAGTTGAGAGTCAACCTCATTTCTGTGGATCTGGAGTCACACGTAGGTCAGACCAGGTAAGGATGGCAGTTTCCTTCCCTAAAGGACATTAGTGAACCAGACAGGTTTCTCCTGACAATCGACAATTGTTTCATGGACACTATCAGTGGAGGAGCAGGATCAATTGAATCATTCAGGAGGGCACTAAATGATTATTTGAATAGAAACTGTGTGCATGGGGGTACAGGGGAAAGGCAGGAGAATGGCACTACATGTTTTCACCCAGAAGGTGGTGGGAGTTTGGTGCGCGTTGCTTTGGAGGGCAGCAGAAATCGTAGAATCCCTACAGTGTGGAAGCAGGTCATTCAGCCCATCGAGTCCACACCGACACTCTGAAGGGCATCACTCACAGACCCACCCCATCCCTGTTACCCCACATTTACCATGGCTAACCCACCTAGCCTGCATATCCCTGAACACTACAGGCAATTTAGCATGGCTAATCCACCTAGCCTGCATATCCCTGAACACTACAGGCAATTTAGCATGGCTAATCCACCTAGCCTGCACATCTTTGGACTGTGGGAGGAAACCAGAGCAATCCAGACGAAACCCACACAGACATGGGCAGAATATGCAAACTCCACGCACACAGTCACCCAAGGCTAGAATTGAACCCGGGTCCCTGGTGCTGTCAGGCAGCAGTGCTAGCCACTGAGCCACTGCGCTGCACTTGTAACCTTTCAAAACAACTTGGATAAACACTTGAAATGTTGTACCTTTCAAAGCTATGGGCCAAGTGCTGGAAAGTGGGACTCGTGTAGATGGTCAGCACAGACTCAATGGGGCAAAGGGCTTCTTCTGAGCTACGAGTTTACGAACATGAATAAATTATAATGCTTGTAGAGAACTGGTGCAGGCACAATGGGCTGATTACTACCTTCAGCACTGTAACAATTCTGTGATACTTTTTAAGACTTTACCTGCAATGATTATTGAATCATTACTATCACTAATGTTAAACACCATGTTTGTATTCGACAGTTCTCTGGTCCAAGTGCTGAGCGCATGAAGAAGACATATGGGAAGTTCTGTGGGCAGCACAACGACGCAGTCAATTTTTGCAAAGAGCTTTTGGCACGGGAGAAAAAATTCCAGGCCTTTGTCCGGGTGCGTCATCATAGCCGCTCTGCTAGCTGCTGATTGTAAAGCTCAAAAATTTAAAACGTACCAAAACTCCATCCGTGCCCTAAATTGTTTTATTTTGTGTTTGCAGAAAAAAATGAGCAGTTCCATAGTTCGCAGATTGGGAATCCAGGAGTGTATATTACTAGTTACTCAAAGGATTACCAAGTATCCTGTGATTGTCCAGAGGATAATTCAGCATACCAAAGGTAACAGATTATCTGTGACTCTCTCTCTTAGTTCCCTCTTTGCAGATGCTGCTAACTCATTCTAAATGTTTACACTGTCCTTTCCCAGTAGGAAGTCACCACTGACACAGGAATATGTCATTCAGCCTGTCGCTCCTCTCCTGCTATGCTCTTGTGGCACAGTGGTAGTGTCCCCACCTCTGAGCCAGGAAGCCTAGGTTCATGTCCACCTGCTGCAGAAGTGTGTACTAACATCTCTGAACAGGCTGATGAGTAGATCTCTCTCGTTCTGCTATTGCCATTCTGGAAGGACATCTCAGCCATGTTTCCTTCTTTTGATCAATATCCAGTGGGAACTCCACCCCACCCCCACCGCATCCAAAAAGTTATTGCTGGTCGATGCTCGGTATATAAACCCACATGCAGCCCATCTATCTGCTGAACCACAACCCAGCATGTGTCGTTTTACTGGAAACTGCATAACATTGGGAATGTAGAACATGTTAACACAGAGGGGTTGAAGTGAATAGTATCGAGCCACTTCATGCTAGATCAGCATTTGAGGGAGCAGGGGAGAGAAGATAACATTGAGAGATTTAGATGGGGCAAGGCTCAGGAAGAACATTGATACCAACATGCACTGGGAATCGGCCTGACCCAATGTCATTATTCTTTTCTCTCGTCTTTGCAGAAAATGATGACGATTATGCTGATCTCACAAAAGCACTGGCCATGATAAAAGAAGTGATCGCAGCGGTGGACAACAAAGTAAGTGAGTTTGAAAAGAAAACCAGGCTGCAGGAAATCCACAGCAGGACAGAGACCAAGGCCATCATGAGGTTGAAGAGCGGCCAGATGTTTGCGAAGGAAGACTTGATCCGGAGAAAGCTTGTACACGATGGCCCTGTTATGTTAAAGACTTCAGCGGGAAGACTAAAAGGTACAGCCTCTGCACTATCTGGTTTATGAAGTGTGCATCACTCTTCGAAGGGATATTGGTCAGATTATGCTGGAGGCCATTCTCTGCAACATTGAGGACCTTAATCAGTAACACTGCATCTAACATTTCTCCTCCAAATGCCAACCCGCAACTGAGGGAATGAGAGGAGTGAATTGCTCTTTCATGCTACAAATTGCTAGAATATATCAGCTCCCTATCTCCATAATTCTCATTTGCTTCTGTCATAGCCATTTCCAAGCCCAAGTTAGGCTATGGATATCAAATTTTTATGTTTGAAATCTAATCACTCGAGTCCTTTATACGGCCAAGACACATCTTGTTCCTTTCTCCAACTTGTTCTTTCCCCACATTTTCTTCTCTTTTCATGGTATGAGGATGTTGCTGGCAAGGCCAATGTGTGTTGACCATCCCTAATTGCCCTTGAACTGAATGAGTTACTCGACCGTGTAAGAGGAATGGTTTGAAGCCAACCATATTGCTGTCCCGTGTAGGCCAGACCAAGTAAGGGCAGCAGATTTCTTTCTTTAAAGGGCATTAGTGAACTGTGCCCATAGTCAGTTCTGTACTTTTTTAATGGTAGAAAAAGTTGCCAGCCACTTCCATTTTTACCAGTGCCATGTATTTGGAAGCAGTATAGTTTTCATGGAATAAACTCCAGCTCTGTCTTTCCACATATTCATAGTTCCTGAAAAAATTGCCAGTCAGTGCTTTAAATCCTAGAAGTCAGGTCAGCAAATTGTGTGCCAATAGAGATGGAGTACATGCCAGATCAATCAAATGGAAATTACACATATGTGATTTTCTCAGTAGCTTGGTTCAACAATGTGTAATGTGTTTCTCTGTTTGCTAGTCAAAGAGAAATAGAGGGTATAATGGAGTGCAGTCCCTTTTCCCTTCCCCTCTCAAACTCCTCCCCCGCACCCCCCAAACAAAGAGTTGATGAAGAACTTGCTGTAAAGTATGTAAAAGATGAGCAGAGATAGTAGGAACTGCAGATGCTGGAGAATCCAGTTGTCCAAGGATGACTAACGCTGCAGCACACCATCCTCCTCAGAGTTGATATGTCTTTACTCTTTTGTGGTTATGATTGCCTTGTGCTTCAACAGCCTTTGACTAAGATGTTTATCTCTTGCTTTGTAGAAGTCCAGGCTGTGTTGCTTTCTGACGTGCTGGTGTTTCTTCAAGAGAAGGATCAGAAATATACTTTTGCTGCACTGGTGAGTTAGTAATTCTTTGAGGGCCGATCATATCTAGATATTACTTGACACAGCTGCCTAGGTAACATCACAGCCTGCACAAATGCTAGTATTTATGTCTCAGCCATGCTGTTAATTCTAATTGGTGTCAAATAAGAAAAGACAGTGATCATTTAGGTGGAAGCTGCTGTAATTTATGCAATTTGTTTGGGAATCTCATGCTTACATTTGTAGATGAATTCTGCAGGACCTGGGCTACTGCAGTGCTGAGGGAGTGCTGCCTTGTTCTTTCATAACAACACAAGAATGAAATCTGCCATTCAACCCCTCCCCCCGGAGCTTGATTCGGATGCAGTGTTTAGCTGAGTCGCTGTCTGCCTGTTTGGGTGTGTGTGTCAGAAGCTGCAGCAGGAAGTCAGTAGGGCTGGTTGTGTGAAGTGATGAGATTACATAGCACTTCCTGACCCCACTTAACTCCAAATTAGATCAAATAGAAGGGACATCTGGGAGTGGAGCTAAAACTCCACCAATGGTATCGAGAGGATAAGGCTGTTGTTTCATGCAAGATGCCTCCATTGTCAACAGTATGTTCTGTCCTCTGGAGACCTGTCTTTTTGGATATGTTAGCACTTGAGTTTACACTTGTGCAGAGGTTGGTCATTCAGCCTGGCCTTTGGTGGGGTGGGGTGGGGGGTGGGGGGGGGTGGGGGGTGGGGGGGGGAGGGGGGGCTGTTGGGGTGGTTCACATGCATTTGTGTTCGTGCTCTGCAGGAAGGCTTTTAGAGTCACCGTCGTCACACAGAAAATGTGGTCACATACCTGTGCAGAGCAAATTCCAAAAAAGTAGGCTTTTTGTTGTGTTTTCAGTCATAAGAGGAGACTATCCCAGTAAGCTTTGCAAGGGCTTGTGCATCCTTGACAGTTTTGCCATCCTGAGCAAACCTTGGATTTGGTCAGATTTTCCACTCTCTGGAATCGGCATTAATCCAATAATTGAGCTCTGACTGGAGACTGAGTTCATGCTCAGGATTTGTAATGCAATGATGTAATCACAGGAAATAGGTCACATTTTTAAACCATTGCAAGCTTTAATCTGGTGTGGAGAAATTCCCCTATTGTGACCATTTCAGTGTCAAGCATGAAAAGCAGCAAGTATCATGAGCTAGTTTACACAAATATGCAAGCATTTGGATGAGTCAAGATATTTACCACACTCCAATCTCCGAGTTTGCTGATATTTGTTGTCTGATCTTTAGCTTGAATCAGGGTACAGCAGGACAGTGCTGCACTGGAGCAGGAGGAAGATAGAAGCAGAATCCTTGACAATAAACTTTGCAATTCTTTCCTGAACCCTCTTTATTTTGTTTTCCTCTTGTAAGCCACTCCTTCAATCCAATCTCTTGGATCAAACTTTTGGCTGTCTTCCTTAATGTCTTGGTGCCATTCTTGGCTTTGTAATGCTTCTGTGAGCTGCCTGGCACATTACATTAGAGGCCCTATAGAATTGCAAGTTGTTGTCTCCTGGAATATGTTGAGTAGCTATAACTAGACTTCCTGTCTGCTTCTTATTTCACACATAAATTATTCGGTCTCTGAGCAGTTCCTATTTGTAAGTGAGAATGACATTATTGCTGTAGAGTGACTACAGTTGGAAAATGCTGATTGTTGGGTTTTTTTTGCTGTGAACTCTGATTTCACAAGCACTTAGCACAGTAGATTAAATCTTCAAGTTATCAACAGAAGAGATCTTTATATATTATCGTCCTCCCACCCAGAGATATCCCCCACCCCCCCCCATTAATAGGCTGTTTAATTCCAAAGGCCCGTTCAGATTCAGACATTTTTATGTGAGCAATTCCACAGAATCCAGCTGAATGGAAGATTCAGTGACACACTCTCTCTAACTCAACTGCATCAAATGCTCTGCATTGCCCTATTCCTTTTGGGAACGTGGTGGCTGATGACCTCCCTGGGTCCTGCTTGGAAGCCGTACTATTGGCTACATTGGCAAAGCAGCCAATGTGAGTTTATCTGAAGCCTAATCCCTTGGAAACAAAGCAGCTCAATTCCTGTTCTCCCTGGTGATGGGGCTAATGGTTTGCCTACACGACCCGTAGCCAAGTATGACGTGTCTGCTGCAAGAATCTCTCTGCCGGGTGCGGTGTCAATGTCACACAGCACTGTACTTCCCCCAGACCTTAAAAATGCTTCCCTTGCCCAGCATGAGAACATGGTGACATTTGAACACACTGTACAGGGTGTGCTTCAGAGGTTTGTCATTCATCCAAATGCACCCAGCATCACTGATCTCACTGTGACATTGTCACAAAGCCGTTTGGTTTTCCAGCACGACTGTGATCAGATTGCTGCTGTTTAACCCGCGTCCTTTGTAACAAATGTTGGTTCCACACTCAGTGCAAACTTACAGCTCTCCTGCCCTTTTGCACAATGCATTGGTGTCCCATCAGCCTGCACCAATTGCTCACTTGTATTGGATATCCTCTTTTAATATTTTAGTCACACTTTATTTCTTCTACTTTCTCCTAACCTGACAATGGGAATATTGTAAACTGTTTCCCAGTTTACAGCATGGGAGCATCGCCATCGCTGGTGGAGCATCCCACCCCTCCCTGCACCATGTGTCTTTCCCTCATTCCCACCCCCCCATTTCCTCTTTCACTTCCTCTCCTCGTCCTCATCTCGCTCTTGACTTTTTTTCCTCGCTTCTTTGCTCTTTCTCTTCCTCTTCCCCTCCCTTTCACTGTCTCTCTTCCTCCCCTCTCGCTGTCTCTCTCTCTTCTGCTTCGCCTTTTTTTCCTCTCCGCCTCTGTCTTTCACTCTCAGATTCTCCCTTCATGTACTCTCTCTCTCATTTGAGCTCTGCCTCATTCTCACTCACTGTCTCAAGCGCTCACTCATTCTCATTTGCCCTTGCATGCACTCTTTCTCTTGGTTTCTAATTCTCTCTCTTGCTCTCACTCTCTTGCTCTCACTCACGTACTGTCTCACGCACACGCTCTGTTATGCTGTTGATCTTTTACATTTGCTGGCACTCAGTCTTGCTCTTGTTCACTCTCACTCTTTCTCTTCCTTCTCCTCTATGTATTTGCCTCGTTGTTTACATGCCCATTGCACTGCATCATGTTTCCATCACTGGGTGATGTTGATGTGAGGCAACTTTTTGGAGCATGCCAATATCACACTCTACTTCAAATCTGCTTGTGCCCCATCAGCCCTTGTTTCTTCTCTACTTGGTAGAAATTTACCTTTAACTAGTAAGAAATTTACATCCTTTAAAGTGTCCCATGAGAGAAGATGCGACTTATCCCCAGGCCAACATGTGAAAGGCTGCAGCCGTTTGCCTAGTCTGCTTTGTTCAGTCAGATCTGTTTTTTATTGATGATCAATCCATCCATTGGAATCTGTTTGATATTTTATGGGCTCCCATGCTCACTACCTGCCAAATGCCTTGTTTAAATGACATTAAATTTCTTTCTCCATCACCGTAAATAATTCCTAACAGCTGTGAGACATGCCCCTGGCAGTGTGATCTGGACTGAGTGCTGCCCCTACATAACTTGTGCCACAAAGATCAGGTTCTTGTTGAGACAGATGTCTTGAAGTTTATTAACAACACTAACTGTTTACGTGTAAGTCTGTGCTATTACAGTCTATATTTACTGGTGTTATTGTACATTATGTGCTCACTGAACTGACTGCATTGAGAAAATGACTGAAGGAGATATGTGTCCCTTTATATTGGAATATCACGTGTTCTGATGATATGTAGCTATCTTAGAGGCACAGCCCAGTCTGATCTGCGATCTATGCAATGGCACACCGTTGTTGATATCAGTGCCACATTTATTTTTTTTTCTCAACCTGTTGACACCTGTTTTGAAACGCTTGTTTTAGGACCAGAAGTCTACTGTGGTGCCACTGCAGAAGCTCATTGTGCGTGAGGTAGCACACGAGGAAAGGGGCTTGTTCCTCATCAGTGCAGCTGCCAAAGTACCCGAGATGTATGAGGTACATGCCAGCTCTAAAGAGGAGAGGACCAACTGGATGCAAATCATTCAGCAGACTACCAGCAGCATGTAAGTAGCTTTGTGTAGCAATTTCAGTCGAGCTGAGCAGAGAGTGAAACAAACAGCTGCCTTCCCCTTTGGCATTTGCCTCAGATCAATATTTCAAATGCTGTTCCTCTTTTGGCAAGTCTTCAAAGTAAAGCAAAACCTAGTGATCTCTCCTGGATGGAGTCTGTAGTTTTTAACGTGCATGACTGACAACAAAAGAAAAGAATGTTATGCCCCAAAATTTCCCCTTCACATTTTATGATCCATAGTTGGCCCTGATAACCAATTGAGCGCGTTTAAAAAAGTCAGATATTTGCATTGTGCATTGTGCATTGTTGGCTTCAAAGGATGGATTTTTCCAAATATAGCTTTGTCCATCTGAGCTGACCTTTAGGTATTCAGTAGGATGTTGCTTTAAGTTTTGTGTTGGTGATGGATTGTGAGCTCACTCTTGTTTCTCAGGATTGTATAGTTAGTCACAAGTAGTATGATAGTATAAGGTAGGGGTGGAGGTTAGATAGACCTTAGGTTTAGAGTAAAGGTTCAGCACAACATCGTGGGCTGAAGGGCCTGTACTGTGCTGTACAGTTCTATGTTCTATGTTCTAAGCCCCTGCTAACAAGCCATCTCATTACTAAGCAGCATTTTTTCCCCATCATCTCATATTCCTGCTAATTGATTTGAGAAATATATCTCTTACTAGTCAGAAATATCCATCAGAAAACCAGCACCTGCAAGTTCCCCTCCAAGCCACACCACCATCCTGACTTGGAAATATATTGCTGTTCCTTCACTGTCACTGGGTCAAAATCATGGAATTCTCTCCCTGAGGGCTTTGTGGGTCAACCTACAGCGCAGGGACTGCAGTGGTTCAAGAAGGCAGGGGGCAACTAGGGATGGGCAATAAATGCTCACCCTGCCAGTGACACCCACATCCCATGGGAGAACACATAGGTAAAGGTACCCAAACTTTTAAAGATTCCTAAAGTGAAGATAGGTCTTATCCTCAGGGGAGCTTGTGAAAGGCTGGAGCCCCGCTCCGGTTCTACCCTGTTCAGCCAGATCAGTGTAATGTGGATGTTCACTCCATCCAGCAAAACTTATCGGATCATGCGTGGCCTTCCCACGTTCACCTGGCCAACACCTGCGACATCAAATTCCTTTCTCCACCTACCCTGAATGAAGTTGAACATTACCTTGGACATTGGTACCACCTTTGACCCTGTGCACTGATTCATCCGACAGGGGTCAGGATGAAGACGAAGGAATCCCCAGCGAGTCTGAGGAAGACCGGCGGCAGCTAGAAAGCAGAGCCAAAGAACTGAAAGGTACATCTGCTTTATTTATGGAACGTGTGCAGACACCAAATACCATAACTGAATGTTTCTGCCCCGGTTACTGGATAAGGACAGGGCTCGGGGCTTGGGTTTTCTGTTTGAAGTCTTGAGAAAAATTTTCAGCTTTTCATCCCATCATGAGACACAACAAGGGTGAGTGGTCAGGGAGCTTTAATTACGATTATTGATGTCTATTCTATTAGCAACTGTCGGACAGTTATTCAGAATAAGATGGTCAATGATCAATGAGTAAATGATATTTTCACTTCCTGTAGAGAGGAAGATTGAATTTCTCACAGAATCACAGAATAAGTGGAGGTCATTCAGCCCGTTCTAGTACCTACCCTAGTTCTAGTACCTAGAGCCAATCTCCTGCCTTTTACCCACAATACCTGCACACCTCTTCTATCCAAATAATCATCCGATGCCCTCTTTGATGCCTCAATTGAACCTTCCTCCACTACATTTCTTGGCAATCACTTTTCCCATTGTCTGTATAACTGTTGACATACTGCAGTGAGATTTGGAACATAATCATATCTCTCCAGTGGTTACCATGTGAACTTTGGCAGTCAATTCCAACAGGTCAACCAGTTGAACCAGAAAGCACAATCTCTAATCAAAGGGTCACCTGTTTTAGACAGATGAGAAGGAATTTCTTTCTGAAGGTAGTCAGTCTGTAGAATTCTTTACCACAGGGAGCCATTGAAGTTAGGTCATTAAGTGTATTCAAGGCTGAGATAGACAGCTTTTTAATCAGTAAGGGAATCGAGAGTTATGGGAAAGGGCAGAAAGTGGAGTTGAGGAATATCAATCAGCTGTGTTCACATTGAATGGCAAAGCAGACATGATGGGCTGAATGGCCTAGCTCTACTCCTGTGTGATAATTTGGAGGGAGAGCATCATCAATAACTTAGAGTCATAGAGTCATCCATGTATATATACAGCACTTTTTAACTAATAAAATATCCCAGGAAAGGCATTCCACCCTTTGGAACTGGGCACCAGCAGTCGGTGACATCTGAGTATATAATATATTCTGCTGCTGGAAGGCTAGATTATCCATGACAACTTTTTTCTCGTGGAGTGACCAGAGGGTGTGGTTCATACCTTCAGTTTCCAGCAGGGCTCACTGTTTAGCGATCAGGAGGAGGAACCTGAACCGATCTATCCTCTCTTGTTACAAGGGCCTCAGTAATTATGGCTCATCCAGCTGAACTGTTCTAGGAACTAGCTGTAAAGCTTGCAAGAACTTTGCTTTTCTGCAAGTTTTCATCAGTTTAAAACGAGAAAATGGAAATGAAAAGATTGCTGAGGAAATCTGTGCATCTTACATCAGCGTTTTTATTTAACAGGGTCAAGGATTATTGAAAAGACCCTTGTTTATATTGCTACCTATCATTACATACAGTGAATAAGTTCTTTTTTTGCCAACCATAGGGGAATTCACTTTTAATCAGGAACCAATTACTGACTGAGGACCATAGGGTCTGATTTCAAAAATGTCACTTCCATGTTTGTTTTGTTACCTGACCTGCTTTTTGTAGGAATTTTTTTTTGGGTGTTCCCCTTCCCTTCCTCCTATTGACCGCTGACCCCCACCCCCTCAGAAGCCAAGGGAAGGTGAGGAACAATGGGAATCAGCAGTCAGTGAACCATCCTGCACCTCTGAACTTGGACACCGTCAATCTGATCAGCTGAGCTGAATTCCCGTGTCTGAGGGAATCGGAGAGGAATTTTCCAGAGTTCTTTTCTCCTTGGTTTGTGGTTTTTAACATGCCGCTTCCAGAAGATGGTGGGGAAGAATCATGGGGAATAGAGCACATTTGGAACAGCGATGTTCCAGTCACTGAATGTAGACTACCTGATCATTTCTTAACCATCACCTTCGTCCGTTCTGTTTGTTGAACATTTACTGTGTCCTCACTTCGCAATAAGAGGATAGAGATCAGCAGTTTCTTAGTCTTTCTTAGTTCCAGGGTATTGACATCAATTCTGGTTCTCTAAATGCCAACTCCAATCCATTCATTCCACGTCAAGTTAATATTGAACTGGGGCTTTTAGCCCTGTTGCTGAGTACTGCACTGGACAGTAGATTTTGATGTCGCCTCCTTCTCTTTTCTAGTTTTCTTTCTTCCGCAGAGTTGGTTTTGTTTCCTCCTCCCTTCCTACCTACCCACCCACTGCTTGAGAGTGTAAAGATTGTTCATTTCATTCTTTGAACCACAGAGAAGCTGCAGGAAAGGGATCAACAAATCCTTTCGCTCTTGGAGGAGAAACTGAGACTGTACAAGGAAATGGCGGAGGCTACTGGGCACGAAGAAGCTTCTCAGAATCTGATTACCAGGTCCTTGTTCAGAGCAAATTCAGAGGATACCCCAAAGGGAGAGTCACTGCTCAAGGATGCAATGAAAGAAGGTCAGTTCAAAGCAGGAAAGAAACGCTGAGGTCCTGGGGTCAGTCATCTGGTCGTGGCTATTAAAAAGTCATTTTGTTCAGTAAATAGTGTTTCGCAGACCAATATCTATATGTTCAATTTGTCAGCAAAAGACTTGCAAAGACTTACAAGTGTTTCATAAATCTATAGTTTAGCACAAACCCCAGTTTCCACCTTTCCCATCTGGACCGTGTTGAGAAAGCAACTCCTCACTGGGGAGGACCTTGGCTCCTTTTTTTTTTGTTTTTGAAAATAGACCCAACACATTAACAAAAAATTCAAAAGACTCCTTTTATTTCCCTGATAACAAGATGTAGAG